CTTTTACAGGTGCTCAAAGTCGCTTTACAGAAATATGTAGATACCTTAAACCAGTTAAGCCCCATGCCCCCGGTACCGGGAGCTGCACGCAGCATCTTGCAACGGAACAGGAAATCAGGGGTTCTTAGGCAAGGCAAGTTTATTTATATAGCACTTTTCTGTACGCGACAATTCAAAGTGCTTTACAAAACAAATTAAAATACTTTTTAGGAATAAATACAGTAAAAACACATTTATATAATGGCATTTTACAACAGGCCTTACAAAGCAAAGATAGTAAAATAATAAAAATAAACACCACAGGTATACAATACATGTTTAAAAGGCATACTGTAGTGTGAATATGAGCAGCTCAATTGAAAGCAGCGGCAAAGAGATATATTTTTAGTCTCGATTTAAAAATAGTAAGCGTTTCTGCGGACGTGCATGATTTGGGTAGTTTGTTCCAGATTGTCGGGCATAATAACTAAATGCTGCCTCTCCATGTTTTGTTTTTACTCTCGGAACCGATAGCAGACCCATCCCCGAAGACCTGAGGCACCTTGATTGCTCGTAATTATGTAGGAGTTCAACAATATACTTTGGTCCTAAACCATGTAATGATTTAAAGACTAGCAATAGTACTTTAAAATCATTCAATTTGTTATTCTACAGTATTGTTGTTTGATAGTTATTTGTTAATGTAATCCAATTTGTGTTCTTTGAAATTGAAAAGGATATCGCATCATGTTTGTTACTTTCGTTGCAGTTGTATTATGTCTTAAGTGTAATTTGGCTTGGCTTCCTATTTATGGACATGCTTTTATTTTTAAGGAGAGTTAGCGCAGTTGACAGGAAGTTGTTGTTGCTATGGAAACAATGTGACGGAGATTAACGGAGAAAAGTAATATCTACATACAAAGACGGAGAAAGTAAATGATAATGTTTATGGTTAAGTGTTAGCACCCCCCAAAGAGGCACAAGCTCTTACGTTGATATTGGAGATTTCAATAAATTAAATTTGAAAAAAAAAAACGGGGAAAAAACAAACAAAACGAATATCCGAATAACCAAATTGAAACCCGAATAGTACTCCAACGAATGAATATTCGGGTACAGCCCTAGTGATTATCCTGCTGAACCCTTGTAATGCTAACTTCCGGATCGGACAACAAAAAAACATCATCAGTGCACCACAATATATCCTCCTCCAGTTAACTAGTTGTGGTTATACTGGTCATATATCACACTAGTAAGCAGGATTTCATTGCATTCACTGCAGAGAGCAGCAGAGACAGCTCACCAGTTGGCAGCTGGTCATACTGGACACCAGCTGGGCTCCCTGGCAGCACAGGATGAATCCAGCCAGGTTAAGGAGCACACACACCACAGACAGCAGGACAAACACATTGACCTGGAGATGGAGGCATGGGGACAGGGGGTGGATGAAAAAGGAAGGGAGAATGGATTATTGTGGTGCTGTGGACATATTCTGTAAATCAAGACAGAATAAACATGATGTGAACACATGTTGGGAGATAAACAGTTGCTGTAATGGACCATGTACAAACAGGGAGGTGACATGAAATTATCTTACTAAACAGTAAAATTCAAAACATCAATAGGATAACACTTTATTGTCAGATCAAGTCTGACGTCACCACAGCAGCTCCATTTGCAACATCAAACAACGACAAATATTAAGACACGATACTCCTATCCTTATGCTCTTTCACAAGAAAGAGCAATGTTGAAATGTATAGTAAACATATTTTAGTAATGGTAGGAGGTATGGGTACTGATACTGAAACCCGGTATTAAACGGGTCCCCGGGGCTACATTTTTAAAGACTGTGGTATCGATATATTCCGACTTTATCGGTTTTGTTATCAGTACAGTAACAGAGGAGCACCGTTAAAATCCTAACGATACCCATCCCAGTAGGAGGTAAAGAATACGTCCACATTAATCCAGTTACATTTTTAAAGGCCTGTAGTCCTTTCTGTAGCACCCTACAACCAGACTACAACATTTGTTAAAAAAGAAAAAGAAAAAAGAAATAACACCATAACCATTTAATATATTTTTTAATGAGAAATGCAAAAACCTACATCCCTCTTATATCATAAATGATATCCCAAATGAGATGAGAAAACTCTAAAACGGTATTAGGACAACTGTAGGTTGACAAAATGCTATTTAGCTGTTGTTGTTGTTGTTGTTGTTGTTGTTGTTGTCGTGTGTTGTTTGCGGCCTTTTCCTTCACACTAATTACTTTTTGATTTTGGGAGTTGACCTCCAGTGTTCAAACGTACGAGAACAAGAGGACTTCTCTATCAGTTTAGATTCAACACGCCTTTCCGCATGACGAAAGCATCAAGGTATTTCCACGTAACAGCGTCATGGATGAACAAAGAGAACGTCACCGCCCCATAAACACAACTCTTAAGTAATATCAAGTCCAAAAAAACAACAATATGAGGCGCCCAATTTGATCAACGTCATGTTTATGAGACCACAAATAATTAGCTAACTACCCCTCCCCACAGTCCCTCTCCCTCACTGCCTGTCGCTGAGAATGATTATTTTCTGCCACTTCATATTGGATTATAACCAGGGGTGCACATAACTTTCTCAGTGAGGTACTCAGATGAGTACCTGGAGTCAGTGTTTGGTACTCCAACTTCTGGCTCCACTCAAAGTTATTTTATGAAGCCCTCTGTATCGCGAACGTCGACGGGGACGGGGACGGGGGGCCTAGTGGAGTACTTCGTGACCACAGAGCGTGAACGTTGTGATCAGCAGTTCTCCAGTGAAGGGGGGGAGTCTCCCACCGCAGCCGGTTGGCGTAGTTTTGGCACAATTCCGTTGTACAGACCGACGTTAACAGCAGCCCTGTCTGTGCACACGGAGACCGACTCTGTCGTCCGGTGATCAAACCGCCTTCTGGAAAAGCTTCACAAGTACGTCGGTACGCAAATGCGCTTTGTGACACAAGTGACGGTACGCATTTCAGATTGTTGCCGCGCATGCGTACCTGCGTACCAGTTATGTGCACCCCTATATTATAATATTAAAGTAATGAGCGACACTATCAGAAGCAGCTTTAATGGCCAAGTAAATGTTCACCCACATGAAATAAGGGCAGGCCGTACAAATAATGGTATCTTATGTAGCTACGTCGATGCGGGAGTACGCAATGGGTTGGGTACTGAAAAACCATAGAGGCCACAACGTTCCTGTTGACATCACCACTATCACAACTGCATTAAATAGAACCGTCTGCTGTTGTCTGTGAAAAATTATCTGAAGACACTTACTCGATATTTCAGAACTTTTAAAGATGGACTTGTTGAAGAACACGCCCATTACATCATGGTGCTGCTCTGCTGTCTCACATCTTACTTTGTTTTAAGCATCATACACAAACATCAATAACTGTTGGTGAGCTCTCCCAGTCTCTAAACATGTATTTACATCCACGATTTAATGGAAATTCTAGAAGACACACAACTAATTTCATAAGAATCCCTAAGAACTATAAACTGAAAATATTCCAAAAAAAGCAAAATGGAAATTCCTTTTACAACACACTGACTGAGTCAGCCACTCTAGTGTTAAACCTGTTGCTACTCTGGTAACCGCCAGCATCACTAAACTGACCATAAAGCCCCTGTCACACTGTCCCGAAATTGACACCCGATGGACACACGAATATGGAATTGTGAATTTCGCACGAAGATGGCCCCGAACAACACACGAAGGCAACATTTACATTACATTTAAGACATACAACTGCAACGAAAGTAACACAAACAATTATGTTAAAGTATTATGATACTAGACTGATANCAGACTTAAACAGTTAAATATACGTTGTGAATTCGAGGCGCCGCCAATGCGTACTCCATGCACAATCCATTAAGTGCAGCTATATTGGTGTCTTAGGTTATCTTGGTTTTAGTGAAACATTCCAGTAATTTGTGTGTGTGAACCACAGGTTAAAATGAGTGATCATAATTAATAGGTGATTGTAATAGGACGGTGAGTCGTCTGTGGAAAGTATGACTAGTCTGTGGGGTCTCTCATGCCAAAAGACGAGAGTCCTCTGAGCACTCGGGAAACCTGCCTAGTGAGAACAACAGGTAAGTGAAATAAAGTAATGTATTGTTAAGACTTCAGTGTGAGTTATTACTTATGTTCCTGTTACTTGGACAATTCTTCAAACAATACAGACATTGCACGCATCCTCTTCACGTCTTTGACAAGCTGTTCTCAGCGCAGGCTAGTACAATGTGTTACGAACGCACACTTGTCATGTTCCCTCCGATAAGCTCAACTCTAAAAGGGGCGCTTTTACGGAGAACTCAAATTCAATACCTTTATTCGAGCGCTCGACCGTCATAAACATTAGTTATGTTGCCAGAAGTTCTTGTATAGGTCTGGGCACACATCTCATAACAAAAATTATCTATCTCATTGACCCAGAGCTACCCACCACCACAAGTATCACATCACTCTGTATCATAGCATTAATATATTTTTTTTTTTTTTTTTGGGCATTCGTGAGGCATCGTTAAGCCATCTTTGGCATGCCAGAAGATTTTGCCACCAGCTCCCGAAGTTGCTGCCGGAGCCTGATAGATTCCACAGGCGGTCATACGATGGCTTAAGATGCCCTCACGAATGCCTTACGAAGGGCAAAATGGACACACAAAGTCAACGCGAAAATGAACCTTCACAAGGTCCTTCGGCAATGCTTTGTGATGCCAAAGATGTTGCCACCGCTCCCGAAGTTACTGCCGGAGCCTGAGAAACTCCACCGGCGGTCATACGATGGCATAAGATGCCCTCACGAATGGCCCGATGTTGTTACGATCAGAGCCGAATTTGAACATTTCCTTAATCGTGTGTCCTTCGGGTGTCAATTTCGGGACATTGTGACAGGGGCTTTAACAGAAACCTTGAGGAGAAAGAGGTGATCGAGGTGGAGGCATATTTTTGCCACAGAATGCTGTTCCATATTCTTCCATATCTATCTTTTCTTAATCTACATCTGTCCCCCCCCCCGCCTCCCGAAGGAGCACCGATGAGGGGAGGGAGCCTGGAAACCTGCTGACCGTGGCCCTGCATGGAACATGGTTGGACATCCCTAAGGGACTGGACTTAAATTTAATGGCAACACAAACATTGTAACTAATGCAATCACTTCTTTGTATAAAGAACAAAGAGAAAGTATCTTACCAGCAGCAGCATGGGTCTTCTCCATGTTGTGAGGCCTACGATGCCGGACAGAATGACCTGGAAACACACGGTGGAAAATGTGTTAGAAAGGGAAAATGTATCACCAATATATTTATTTATCCTTAAAGAGTACCCTAAGACTATCATGTGCAATGTGTTGGAACATTAGCCAATAGAAGGACAGGTGTTAGATAGCGATTTCACTATGTTGCGGAATTAAACAAAGGAGTCCAATTGAGGCGTTTCAGAAAGAGAGGGAGGCGTGGGTGTAACTAATTATTATTACTACTTACAAATGAAATCTGACCTCCGCCCTTTGTTGCATTTCCTCTGTCCAGTCCCTTTTCAAATGTTCTATCCAATAAAAAAGGTAAGATGTAAAAATGAAAAAAAAAAAAAAAGGTTTATTATGTAGCACAGTATGTCACAGCATATCTGATATGATTTGTTTGAGTGTGTTTTTGGGTAATAGTTATTGGCCCTTAAAAGTGCTGCTCTGTACCATCAATTGGGAAGTTGTGCCATTTGCATTTGCATTTAAACAAGTCAAGCCATAAGTCCGGGCAAAGCCAGTTGTATTTCAGAAGCAACAAAGTCTCAAAATGAACACCTACACTGAAAAAACCGAACCGTTGACTTCAATTTTCACATAACTGTATAAGGTAAGTTAAAAGCAATTATATTAGGTTGAACCTAATATTTTGTATTTTTAACTTAACATTATTGCTTTCAACTAACATAATACAGTTATGTGACATCAATTGACATAATACATTTGATTAAAGTCACCGTTTCAGTTTTTTCAGTGTGTGCTCATGGTCAGATCATTTCAGCTGAAATCGATTCTGTTGACACTTTATTGAATAGCACAACTTTGTTTTACTTCTTTATGTGTTTATTTCTTACCAGAATTGTGGCATTTCCACAACACTACTATAGCAATTTAGTAGTTGATCTATATCCTATCCTATGTATATATCCTATGTATATATATATATTGATTGATATATATCGATTATATATATATATA